GTATTTATTCTGTCAGAGGTTACCTCAATACACTGATGGAAATCGTTTGTTGTGTTTGCTGGGTGCTCATAACTTGAGACACTATTCATCATCCAAGATGGTTTTAGCCAGATTATTTGCTCTAGAGGCGAAGTGTTAGTGATCTGAGACTTCATTGTCCGTAAAAGAAAATTTTTAATTAAAATTTGTAGAATGCCCAAACAGCAAGGAATTTTCAGAGTTAGAAACGTCATGGATTAATTTTCTTTGAATTTTTACACCCTTGAAAACTGATCACTTTTCCTGTAATGCCAGAGGAATTTATTTCTAGCAGGCTTTCACTTACCATTTGAATTACAAAACAACCAGATAGAAAATGCATATTATGTTCTATAAATCATTCACAAATGCTTCTCTAATTTTCTTGGATGATTTTCATATGCATTGAATTTCTTGATGTATGTTTATTTTATTATTATTATTTTGAATTAGCAGTTTTTTTTTTCAAATAATAATATACTTGTTATTATTTGAATACATATTTACTTTTCCTGTTTTAAATTTTAAAAAAATTACAGAAAAAATTCTAGTTTTAAAATTAATTTTTTAATTGTGTTTTAATTTTATTTAACAGAAGAAGTTTAATTTTTTCTGTTGGCAAAGTATGTATTGTTTTGTATTTAATTTATAGTAAAATCTTTCTGAAGACAAACTACAATCTGGAAATTTTCAAAATGTAAGATTTTTTTTTTTTTTTTTTTGAAGTTTTCTCAAAATAAAACATTCTGATAATTGATAAGTTTTTAAGTTATTACTATAATTTAACAAAAGAAAAAATAACAAAATGGGAGACGGTAACGAAAATTATAGTATTTTTAAATATAATATATTCATTGAAATAATTGAATCTTTCTTGATGATAAAGTTTAAATACCTTGCAAAATTATTCAATCAAATATACCGTATGTACCCGCGTATAAGTCGACCCCCCCCCACTTCGACATAAAAAATTCGTATAAAATAAGAAACCCACGTATAAGTCGACCCTCCCACTTCCGAAATCGATCGAGAAACTTCGAAAAAAATTTTTTAAGTACTACATTTATTCAAAATCATCTGAGAAAAAAAAGTAAATATACGATAAAAAATACCTTGGTAAATAAAAAAAATCAAAATCCTTCAATGTCCGATTCATGGTCAGATTCGCCAAACATTTCATAGAACTCTTCTGTCGTCATTGGCTCTTCATCATACACATTTTCAGTCACGAACTCTGTATTGTTACAATCACTACTAGAGCCTTCGTCGTCATTTTCACTTTCAAAAACAGCATCATCTTCCGCGCCATCTAGTTCGTTTCTAATACAACATTTTTTAATTAAATGATTTTATAATCATTTCAGAGGGTATTTAATTCCAAGCATCTTTAACCCACTGAGCAATTAATGTAATATCGGGCTTTTTAATGTTGCCTCCCTTTGTAAATGTTGAATCCTATGTCAATCCATGAATGAACAATGACTATTATAAAGACTTATACGTACGTAAAAACTACTTTTCCGAAAATTCTTTGGTTTAATCGAAACTTACTCTAGATAAAGTATGAAACTTTGATTAGTTCGTTACATAATTTAAGTCATGAAATTACTTCAAGTAAGTGGCTTATTTGATAAGTCGTCCAATTTGAGTGCAGGAAGAAAACAACTGCATTATATAAAGAAATTTTTGAACTTCCGATTCTTTTAATATTTTATGGCCCCGCGTATAAGTCGACTTTGAAGTTTCTTTTTTGTCCAAAATATCTCGACTTATACGCGGGTATATACGGTATGTAACGAAATATATATACTTGAAGTTGTTAATTTAACTAAAATTCTTTTCTAAAATCTCTAATTTCTAATCATATTCCTGTAAATTTTGAGAAGCAATCAGATATTAAATAAATTAAATACAAACTAAAACTGAACATTTTTTAGCTTATTTTCAAAATAATGCTCAATTAGAATTGACTGCATTTTTTGTTATTCCTAAAGTAATATCAAGTTTATCACTGGTAAAAGAAAATCTTCGCATGAAAAACAATACATATATATATAATAATTTATTTACTAAAGAAATATTAATTACATTATCTCCTAATATAAATTTAGTAGAAGTATCAAAAAAGAGGGAACCCATATGTAGGAAGTTTTAATTCCGAAAATTGTGTTTTAAATTTAAAGTAACTTGAATGTAAATTATTAAAAATGATTTACGGGGACATGAATAACAAAATTTCTAACTTTGAAAAAGAAATTAAATTAAAAGATAGTAATTATCGCTGTTGATCGGAAATTAGCTGACTTTTCAAGGGGAACAAACCAACTCCCAATGAGTTAGCTGATTAATAAATGCGAAAGTGTTTCGTCTTTTACTCAAGTAAGAATGGTGATGCCAAACTGGCAAATTAAGTTAAGCCAAAATTGTAGTTCTGTGAAGTGATGGGATTTAGAACCAAAGTAGAGTACCAAAGAACTCATTCTGAGTTAAGCATTTTCACTCATACAAGATTCTTTATAAATTTCGAGTGAAAAGCAATTTATGTAGTAATATTTATAAAATACTTGAGTAAATGCCCCCCGACACCTTCACTTTTATGCATGTTAATTCAAAACTATTTGTATAAAATTAAACATACTTGAAAACTTGTTTTCAAACTAAACGAATTTAAAATCATTCAACATATATATATATATATATATATTAATCCAGTAAGACTAGTATTAAATCTTTATATTTGTGTAGTAGAAATATATATAAAAATTTTTTAATTTAAAACGAGATTTTTAAAATTGAATTTCTTTAGAACAATTAGAACCCCATAATTGGTTGCAATAAATTTTAAAAAGTTTTTAAAAAAATTGTCATTTAAAAAAATTACACATTTGACTGTAAAATGGCATCAATATAACACATAATCCTACTATTCAAAATAAATTAATGAATATTTAATTATATATATATATATATATATATATATATATATAATATTATTTTTTTTGTTCTATAAACTAAAGAAGGAAAATATTTTTAAGAGAAAGTCTAAAAAAGAGGGGGGGGAACCTGTTATACACCGGTGGACAGTTGCTAAGGGCGGATCACAAATGGCTATATAGCGCATTGTAAAAATGTTTAGATGCCAAAGTGAAATAAAATAATCCCAGCATACTAAGGACATAACAATAATTTACTATGCTGTGAAAAGTGTTCAAGGGCAAATTGGTCATATTGTGGTGAATACATAAAAGTGAAAAAAGTGCAGTTACTGTCCACGGGCATTCTGGCGTAAGATGTCAGTTCGGGATGTGATCATCATGAAGGGCGATGTAAGATTCCACACGTCGTGTCATACTTTGCACAATATTATCTAATAGCTGCTGGGGTAAGTTAGCTGATTCCTTCGTCAGTGCACGGATGAGGGTATCTTTGTTTACTGGAGGGCATTGTTGACCAGAAAGACTCCAACAATTGATCATAGTGTTGGGCCATACCGCATCTCAGATACTCGTCCTTTCCTGGATATTTTCTCGACAATAATCAGTACGACTCTCACACCAGATCAGTTGGAGTCTATAATCCAATAACAGACTGAATGTACTCTCATCTAAGAAAAGTACACAAGCCCATTTCTATTGAGTTCAATGCTCGTGATACCATTGCAAATGAGTGGTAAGTTGGTATCCAGACAATGAAATGCACACAACAAGACAGTACACATATAATCCTCCTGGATGCAAATGTCTGGTTACAATTTTTTGTGAGATTCCCTTGCAAGTAGCAACAAGTAACTGATTTGTTACTCCAATACTTGCGCTGCACCATTTCGTTTTGTCGACATTATTATGTATCTCTCTTCTGGAGGTGTCATACTGCGAACATGACTTTCCCAGTGATATTTGCTACACATTCCATTTATTTGAAATGATCTTCAAAGCTCTCATACAACACTGTGGCTGACATCATAGCCTCTAGCAACATCTGTTACTTTTTGTCTTTCTTCTATCTTGCCAATAATACAACCATCATCTAAGTGATGTCAGGAAGACATATCGAAAATTGCAAGTTCATCTTTCCCATTAAATTTTGCTTTTGAACAAGAAAGATCAATATGTGTCAAATCCTTTCTCTCTTTTGTCAGTGCATCACGTGACAAATAGCTTCAGAACCAAACATTTGCATATGCAAAACATGTCTTACTTTATATCGCATTTGTGCTCCAGTGTAATACTGTATCCATCAGTTTCATCATATAGATAACTGCAGTGAGGCACACACTACAATGAATCCCATTATAGTTATAGAAAGGCAATTCCAATAAATCACAGATAAATTGCTTCAATAGGAATTTAGCTACGGATAGTATCTGTGATCAATCAGTTCACATAAGGATATCTCCTTGATCAATATTGTTGACCTCTTGCTTCTGAAGTTAACCATATACTATCTTTTGTGGATTATTCCAAATGTTCACATGCAGCTCACAGCTTTTGGGTTTTTCATAACCCTGCAATATGATATAAAATTTTTTATCCATTGCCTCTCAAAAACTTTTTAGCTTTCCAATACCAAACATTAAACCTGTTTTCCCTGTTTTTACATATTTTAGTTTTGAAACAGCAGTATCACTCCTTCACAGCTATCAATATTCTTCTTTATACGTTCACATGCAGCTGTGAGCTACAATTGGAATAATCCACAAAAGATAATATATGGTTAACTTCTGATGAAAGAGGTCAACAATATTGATCAAGGAGATATCCTTACCTGAACTGATTGATCACAGATATGATCCTTAGTTAAATTCCTGTTGAAGCAATTTATCTGTGATTTATTGGAACAATATTATTAAATATTGGAACAATATTAGTTCTTATGTGGCTGAGTCTAATACTTGTGAGACTCCCCCCCCCTCCACCTCTTGATTGAACCTAATAAATATCTTATGTGTTCAAAGTTGCACAGTAGAAAACATATATAAAAAATATTTTTCATATTTGCTTTATTAATTAAAATTTATTAAATATTGCAAAAACATTATAAAACAAACTATGTACAAAGGAAATATAGTACAAGAACTTTAGATATAAAGTTAATATATGTAATATTTATACACAAGTAAATTAATATGCTAATTTCCAAAACAATATATTATGAATTCCATTATATTTTACATGGTCCAAACAGTCTCAGTATCAAAAAGGCACAATATTTTAAAATTTCAACTTTCAAAATCACATTAAAAGTTCAAATTCATTATCAGATGTATATACTCTATCCATTTCATTCAGGGAAACATCTGTTAAAGAAAACAAATATCAGAATTTTTTTGAAACATTTAAGTTCATCAACAAAAATATGAATTTATACATTTCAAAATAATCTAAATGTCATATTAACTAATGAAATAATTTAAATGATTCTTCTTTATTACAGGAAATTTTGTGTTATGCAGAAATTGTTTTTCAATGATGTATGCAATTTTTTCCCCTGTTATTGTACACTGAAGGGAAAAAAACAACTATTAAAAAAAATGATAATTCTATTAAATCCCATGAAAGGTAGGAGGTTGATAGCTCAAGTTATCACATAGTCCAATGAGAATCACTCCATGTAGAAATATGCAAATTTTTGTAGATTCCCCCTCCCCCCCCAACACACACACAAGAAAATAAGTCCATATTTTAATTTCAAGGATTATAAGAACAGTGAATATACCGCAAGTTAAAACTTTCGCGTGCGAAGGTGGAGCATGTCATTAAAAAGCAATCTGATGGATTGTTGGAAATGGAAGCAGGACAGGTCTATAAAGACCTAAAAGTAACCCAATGCATTATGTTAAGAATCTGGAAAATGTTAAACATTAGTGATGTATGTAGACAACCAGGCCAAAGTCGAAAAGGTGCCATAAAAGATTCTCAAAACAATTATTTAGCAATGATTGTTAAAGGAAATAAACAATAGACGTCATCACTGATTTCAAGGGAGTACACTGGAATTACAGAAACTTGACTTTCTGAATATACTGCAAGTGGCAGGCTGCACAAAAGAGAATGTAGAGAAACTAGTGATTTGTGTCCCACTAGCTCAGGCTGCGAAAAGCACATAGCTGCAGCAGTGCACAGATCATCATGACTAAAGCACCACTGACTGGAGCCTAATTATCTTTACTGATGAGTCTCAGTTTTGTTTGAAAAGAGATTTCAGTATCCAACCAATGTTTCCCATTCTGGATGGAATAATAATACATACATAATAAGTCTGAAAACATCTGTGAAAGGTTTGTATCAGGATGATGGAATCATGGTATAAGCAGGTATCATTTTGAGTGCCTGCACAGAGCTACATATTTTTACCAGCGCATTTATGAATGCTGAAATGTAAAGGAGTGAGCTCCTTGATTATTATGTCAAGTTCTCTAGAGGTAATCAGTAAGAATTCAATTTATATATCAGATAATTTATACATCAGAAGTCGCCCATATGCAGATTAAAATCTAATAGAACACGTGTGGTTGGTTCTAAACAGATACTGAACTGCATCATTACTGCCTACCCAGCACTTTCTGAGATCTTAAAGGCACTGTTCATTATGAATGCACTTTATTACTGCAAGAATTTCAAGACAATCTAAATACACAGCATGGAAAATTGCTGCAAAGTTTGCATTTCAATCAGGGTCACAGGCCTCATTTCTTTTTTTTAATGCATCTCCAAAAGTTGCAACACTAACTTTTCCTTATTTCACTTTATATTATGTTTCCTATGTTCTTATTTAAATTTATTTTTTCCCTTGAAGTATTCAACTAAGCATTTTGAAGTTATGTTAGGCATGGCAATATAAAGATCTTTTATAAGTCCATATTCTTAATTGCAAAATTATTCATGTTATATCAGTTTTTATAGGTTTGATTATTTAATCTTTCCTGCCAATTTATTTACATGATGATGCATAGAATACTTTTAAATATAATTAACCCAATTAGTTGCATGGCCTTTTTGTATGTGCTCTTTAGTATATATATAGAGAGAGAGCTATATTTGAAAACATTTATCAGCAAGATTTGTAAAATTATTTATTTTATTCTGTTTTCATACCCTTCCAAGCATTATGACATTTAGATAATTAGAGAAAATAAATAAAAAAATATTTTAATTAACAAGATAATATATACCAAGAAACAACAAACCTGAAAACAGAGTTCTGTTGCTTAGAGATTAAATAAAATATTAAAAATATAAAACTTATGATACTGAAGTTCAATGAATGATTTCAAATTAGCTACTTGATTAAATACAGATTATTATTTAACAGCAAAAAGTAATTTCACAAATCTCTTAGTTTGTGTTAAGTGATCTGTAAAGTTCTATGGATTTTCAAATCAAAATGTATTTTCTTATACAGTCAAAAGTCGTTGATCCGAACGCGTCGGGACTTCGGCAATTCCGGATTATCGATTTTTCCGGATTATAGATCATCAGTTTAAATCTCGTAAGATGGCATGCAGAAATTCTAAAATTAAAAATATGAAACTGTAATTTATGAAATAAAAACAATTATGATCTAAAGGGTATCAAAATTTACAAAAAAAAAGCTTAATATTTATTTGTTTACTTTATTAAACATTTCTTTCAATGTAAGTTGTTTAAGTTGCTTCGTTTTATGTGATAATACTTTCTCTTTAATTTTATAAACAGACATAATTTCTTGTTCATTTACAAAGTTCCGCTGTTCAAGTCCCGTTAATTGCTGTGCCAAGAATACTGACTAACTTGTCAATCGAAATTTTTTCATTTTCACTAACCTCTCTGTCACATTCTTCATGTCTTTATCCATTTTTTGCAGCAATTCCAATTTTTGTTTGATGGACATCAAAACATACTTTCGTTTTGTACGATCCACAATCGGGGATCACAATCGGGAGCTCCACAATCGGGAATTCTATTTGACATAATTGAAAGTTCAAGTTTACTTTTATAGTATTAGTCTTACAGTCTGCAAAAAATAATAAGCCGGATCCAATTCGAAAATTAAGGAACAACGCAATCATCAACATTAACTGAAATAGATAATTAGATAATTTTAGCTTATACCATCCGTTATACATAAAACGTGCACACGAAAACGTATTCTGCACTTGTGCACACGCATATGCGCAGACGTAAAAGGTCTTACGCACACGCGTACACGCCTATGCGCATGTGTCAACGCGGCGCATGCGCAGAAAGCTTTTAGCTTTGAGGTCCGGATTATAGATTATTCCGGATTATGGGTGTCCGAATTAACGACTTTTGACCGTATTGATTTTGTTACTAATGATAAAGAATGATCTCAATCAAAACGGACATTTAAATATGGTCTTTTCTGCTTCCGTTACATATATGTGACCTGCTTTGTCACATAATTTTTGTTTCAGTGCAGTGGTAAAGAATGGAGAATTCAAAAGTTCATTTTCATCATACTGTGCTCTTTTATTTTAAGAAAGGAAAAAAACACTAATCAGACTGCTGATAAAATTTATGTTACATATGGATAAACTGCTATTTCTGACGATAAAGTTCAAAGGTGGTTTGAGAAGTGCATACAAAGATGATGCACACTCTGGACAGTGATCCTTATGTGATTAAATATAATTTTCTTATGTTTTTCAAATGCTTCATTTGTATTGCATCATAAAAAAACTGCAGAACTTTCCAGATGACCCAGTAAATGCTTCCAATTTCTTAAATTTTATGTACAGTTTTACACCCAAACCAGATGAGTGATAGCAGAAAAATAGTAATTTTAATTCTGTAAAATATATGTAACAAAAGATAGCCAAAACTTACTAAAATCATCATCCACATCTATATCAACATAAGGCAGCATAGGAGGTTTCTCCTCCAGTATTTCAAAGAGAGCGTCTTTCTCTGGTTCTAATAAAACCTATTAAAAACACAATATATGCTTTTTTCCCCATGTATCCATGTATGAGATAATCCAAAAGTAACAGAAAATGTAAAAATTAAAAACTTGGAAAAGTAAAGACAGTAGCATAATGTGGTTTTCACAGAAAGATAGGATTTTTTTTAATAATTAAAAGTTTTATACTGCTGAATTATATGTGGTAATCATTTCAAACAGTGCAATGCTGCAGTTTGGGTATGCTTGTTTTCAGGAAGTCACAGAGACTGATGCAGCATGGCACATGCGAGCAACAGCAGAGGGGGATCTGATTTTCAGTCTTCCAGAGAGCGTGTTTCCGTGTGTGTTGGCATCATATCAGTTTAAGAGCCTCCGAATATCCACTAAAAACTCAAATTAGATGTCTGTTTTTTTTTTCAAATTTCTTGAACGATGAGTATGAGTTTATACAACAAAAAGATTGCACTGTTTGTGCTCTGTGTTTTGCAAGTGTGGTAATATGAACGCCAAGGATACACAGACATTTTCAAACCAAACATGAGTTGTTATGTACAAACTCCGTGGAAAAAGATGAGCCATCTACAGAGTTGTTTCCAGATACACTGTGTACCCCTCCCCCAAAAAAATCACAGTTTTGCATCTCCCATGCTATTGGACCAATTGATGAAATTTAGCTTGTGTTTTTCCTGTCTCAAAACCACAACTTAGGATATAGATAAGTATTTATGTATAGTGTTGTTGTAACATAGGTATTTTGGCACAAAATCAGACTTTTTCTGAAATACCATGCCATTTTTTTTTTCCAGATTTTGATTCTATGACTCCAATTATGCCCAGATATTAAATTTTGTAAAATTTGGTGAGAAACTTACCGAGAAATTTAAAAATTTACCTTGGCTCACTTTTTCCAGTTTGTGAAAAGAATAATTCACTTGGCGAAATTCTTAACTTATAGAAACCTATTTTCCTTTCCCTTTTTTCAATCTGCATGAGTGGGAAAGAGATGCATCATTCATTCTTTCAAATAATTTTAACAAAGTGCATAAAGCACGTCTGGCATTATATCATTTATGACAAATACACAAAATTTCAAAATGTGCCAATATATAAATTTACATATAGCTTTGGATATTTGAATAAAAAACTCTTATTTTTTTACATGCATGCCTAGAAATGCATCTACTTTAAGTTGATGGTAAAATTTTTATAGGTTATAATTTAAAAACTTCTAAAAATTACTAAATACCAATTTTAAAAATAAATCAAAATATCTGTATGTTTTATTTGCATTTTTAGCATCAGTAAAATTTAATTACAAACAGTATTAAAACTCTACTAATTCTGGTTGGGGTTCCTATCAGAAACTAGAAATACACTCTATTGTAAAAAAATCGAAACACCAAGAAAGACTGAATGTGATGAAATTTGATATGCAAAAACATCTTGATAGAACATGCAAATGATCAAAGTTTCAAGGCAAATGAACAGGAATTGCGATCATAGCACACATTTCTAGTGCACAATTTCCAAAGTATAAAACCAGTAACAGGGACGAAAAATTATCTCGCATTATAGGTTTGCGTGAAGCTGGGTGGTCCATACGAGCAATAGGCTGCCACCTGCAGCGTAGAGACCCTGCTATGCAAAGATGTTGGCAGCAATGGTTGCTACAAGGAAATTGCTGACGAAATGAAGGCTCTGGAAGGCCAAGGAGCACAAATGCGAGACATGCTAGGACGATTGTTTGCCAGGCACGAACCGCCCCAACGATATCATTGACGACTATTCAACGAACTGCAGCCACGTCTATACCTTCCGTGGTACTGGTCCACCCTCTCACGGCACTTGTCTGAGGCAGGGTTATGCTCACAGAGGCCTTTAAGACGTATGCCTTTGACCCCACAACATCAGCGGAGTCGTCTGGAGTGGTGTCACAGCCGATCATCTTGGCTGCCATCAGACTGGTATCGTATAGTGTTCAGCGATGAATCCCACTTCACTCTTGAAGCAGATGACCACAGTGTTCGTGTCTGGAGAGAATGGGGCCAGCAGTCCCATACAAAGGCATACAGCCATAACCCCTGGTGTGATGGTGTGGACACTATTTTTTATGACTGCAAGTCATCTTTAGTTATTCTTCATACATCTTTAACAGCTCAATGATATGTTGATACCATCCTGGAGCCGGTTGCATTACCCTTCACGGCACATCATCCTGGGGCCATTTTCAACAAGATAATGGCAGGCCACAGACGCTTACATATCTCTGGACTGTCTCCATGCAGTTGATACTCTTCCTTGGCCAGCAAGGTCACCAGACCTTTCATCAATCGAGCATGTCTGGGGCATAGTAGGCCACCGGACTCGGGCACCACAAAATATTGCAGATCTGGAGCGACAGCTGATGAATGCCTGGCAGAATGTGTCGCAGGATGATATTAGGAACCTCTACCACTCCTTGCCTCAACGAATTCAAGCATGCATTGCTGTCAGGGGCAGTTCAACCAACTACTAATTTGAACACTCATTGGATGATTGTGAGCCGTGAACAGCTACTATGACCTTGATTTTTTATATCTGTGTATGAGCTATACACATAACTACCACTTCCTTAATGGTGCTTCGATTTTTTTGCAAAAGAGTGTATTTAGACATGATATCATCAATAGAAGTTACAAGTATTTCACAAAAACAAAAGCTCACTCAACTACTAAGAACTTTAAAATAGAAGAGCTCTTGCAATATGTAAAAACACTCAAAGTAGAGTTTACAGTATGAGGGCAATACTTCTAAATTTATAGGTCAATGTTTTCTTACCTCAACAAACTGAATGGGTTTTAATTCTGATGAATTTGATCTGTCCATTTTTGAATGAATGGGTACTAATGATTTTGAGATGGAATACACATAATTTAAGGCATCCAAACTGTAGATGACAGAATTTTGACAATTATGCAAATATTTTGACCAGGACCAAATAGTTTTAAGACAATCCTATAGTGCCATGCATCTATGGTCTGAAACTTTCATCGGAAGAAGGTAGCATTTACTTTTCTTTCTGCTGTCAGATCTAGCTACATACGTCATCAAATTGTTTTCACACATGAAATGTCTTAATCCACATAGAAGTAATGCGACAATTTTATATTTAGAAGCATGTGTTAAGCTGAAAGTGTGAAAGTACAGTCTAAGCATACAGCCACTAAACAAGGCTAAGATTCTGATTGAGAAAAGTGAATAACTCAACGTGCCTCTTCCCAAAAGGTTTTCTAATCTTACTGATAAATTTTGATTACTGATAAGTATTGTTTTTCGTAGAAACAATAACTGCTTTTTGACACTGACACATGTAACGATTTTCCAGAACTCTGTAGAAAGTTTTGGCACAGTAAATGTAAAAGATGGCTGCCCCTGACATAGAATAACCCTCAAAATGTATCCTTTCAAAATCCAACATGTACAGAAACTGAAACCAACTGATTTTTAGAGACATCATGAATTTAAGCTGAGCTTTTCAACTTATGGAAAACAATATGGACTAGCTATTAGACATCTTATAAACTAAGGAAGCACACTTTTTACTTAATGAAAGTATAAATGTACAGAACTGCCAGATCTGGGAGAAAGAAAACCTAAACGCGATTGTGTGAAACCCTTTGCATCTGCCGAAGATGACAGCATTGCGCAAGTTCACTGCATCATCATAGGTGTCTTTTCATTTGAGGAAATCCACAGTGGTTCATTTCAAACCTTTCTAATATGAGTGAGCATTATGCAGCACTTTTAAGCGACAGAATCATTGTCTTATTGCATGATGGGCAAGTTCTAATGCAACATTTAAGTAAGATATAGTAACTCTGCCTAGGTATTTGCCAGCACTTGCTATGGTCAACATGTTTTCAGTTTCTCTTTTCCACATAAATGGCCACTAAGTTCTCCAAATCTTATAACTTTCGACTTCTTTTGGTTATGAGGCTATTTAATGTCATAGGTCAACAATCATCACTAGCTGAAAGAAGTTAATTGCCACCATGTGACAAGAATTATACTTGAAACCATCTTAGATGTTGTGCAGAATATTGTGCCACATCTGAAGCCATTATCATTAACAATGGCCATTACATTGATCATTTGTAATTCTAGCTATGTTGGAAACTATGCTGCACCACTGAATGAACTTCTGGCATAACTGAAACACCATCTTTGGGTGAAAAATATAACTATTCTAGCAATGAAACCTTTCATTATTAAAATAAAAAGTTATATGCATTTCTGTGAAAACCCATCATGATACTATGCCAGACTAGATACATTACTAAATTTTCCAAAAGCCACAAGTCCATATTCACATCATGTTAAAAGCAGTAAAACAAGTTTAAAATGGAAAGAAATGTCTGATAACTTGGTACAGGGTTGCCACTCAAACAGGAGAATGAAATTCCCTGACTTTTCCAGGTTTTCCAGGTGTGTTTCAAGAAAATTCCAGTCTATCCGCGTAATGTACGTTGGCTGTGCTAAGAGGTAAATTAATTATGGTATTACTTGTATTGTGTAGCAAACTCACTTAATTATTCAATAAATCCCAGAGGACATTTATTCTTAATTATTCTTGGTATACTTTGTTTGATAATTTTGTTTAGTTTTCCACTTAAGAAACTTAATAAAATTTAAGATATATATATTGGATAACAAATGTATGTTTTATTTAATTATTACTCATGATCATCACCAGTTCAACACGAGGCTAATCCGGTCCTTATAAATCACAACGCAATGCTCTAAATAGTTAGGTTAGATTTTAGGTAAATTTAATTTGCGTGAGGTAGTTCTTAAAACCCTTAACACTTGAAAACACAAATATAATTATAATAGTTGTTGTTTTCTCCACTGAAGATTGAGGATTAGAATCTTCCCAATCTGGAATAAAATAAGGCTTTTTTTGCAGACATTCTGCAGCTAAACGAAAGAAAGAAATCTATTTTAATATATTGAGGTATTTTATATTTATTTTGCAGCATACATAAGGAAAAAATATGTGCATTAAATTTCGTGATGGTATGTCATCATACTGCTATAATTAATTTCAGGATTATGCCAGAGAAAATTTCCTGAAATTTGGAAATATTATTTACTAATAATAAATAAATTTAGAGGGAAGAAGCAACATTAAAATTATATGAATAACATAAAAAATAATTACTTAAAAATTGAATTAGAATAATCATCTATATTTTAGCGAATATAGTTTATATTACATGGCTAGCCTAGATGACTGATTACTATTTTTTTTATTTTACTGCAAAATGGCAAGGGTATTTATTAAAAAGAAAAAAAAAAAGGGTTAAAAAAGATTTTTGCGGTAAAATTCTAGTATACGGTAAGGCTTTGGCACGATTTTGAAAAATTGTCGCCAAGACCAAAAATGACCCGTTTACTGCGCATCAAGATGTCGCCAAATCCCATTATTATTATTCTAACCAAAGAACGTCTATGTAAAGAAGAAAAGGTTCCATACAAGTAAAATGCTATTACGCCGCTAGAATGCGGAGGGAGAATTTGCCCAGGGATTTGGCGACGGAACCTGGCGGTCAGAATTTCCCTCTCCGCGATGTGTACAGGAAATTGAGAAACACGTGTTAAGAAGAAACGCTCTTTGACAAAAAGAAAACTACGAAAATCCGTTTTTAAATTATTGCGAAAAATCCAAGAAGAAACGTTTTATCAAAGGACGTTTCTTCTTGGATTTTTCGCAATAATTTTAAAAAACGGATTTTCGTAGTTTTTTTTTTTTTTTTTTTTCCTCTGAAAATAAACTAATCCATGAATTAATTTACTTGCGCCAAAAATATTTTTTTTTCCTTTAGAGTTTAACCACTTGTGCTAAGACTAAACTTCACGGTTGCGGGTGCCGTGCGCTACAATATAACAAGCGGTAAAGTGTCTCATTTACGCCGCTCCGCATCTGCGAGTGCAATCCAGAGCTGTAACTCGAGAAATAAAAACAATCTCGTTGTTAGGCGACATGTGCACCACGTTATTTTCATTTTTTTTTTTGCGATAAATGCTTATCGACGTGGTGTTCACGTCGCTCGCGGTTCGAGACAAAAGCATCTTGACGTGCGTGGCACGTCTATTTAGCGCAAGTGGTTTTAAAGAAATTTTAAACGATATTCATTTTATGAACTCTTGATAACGTGACCTTCGAACTTCGACACCGGTTTTCGAGCTTTGGTGACAGATATATCAGACATGCACAGCTGTTTCCCTCTATGATGGAACGGAGCCACAGCCACGTCTGTTGAAGAGAGGTTTTCCTTCTTTACAATACATATTCTTTGATTCTAACCTCCATAGTACCATATACTAGGATTAAACCCATTTTGTTTTATACGAGAACAGGTACTTTCTTTAGTTCATGCACTGCACATGCGATTCTCGAGAATACTGGAAAACAAAAGTTGCGGGAAAGTTGCTTTGCGCCTTTCTAAAAGACAATCAAATTGGAGCTGCGAAAAATTGGCTCTATGCCAGCTACCCGAATGACACTCACGTGATACATAATTCGCCAAAAAAGTTACCTCTTCCGACGTCGGCGCAAAAATCGCTTTTTTGGGCGGGATCGTTGTATGAACTTCCCTGACTTTTCCAGATTTTGACAAAAATACTTAAATTCCCTGACTTTTCCCTGAATATTTTGGTCAATTTTCGAATTCCCTGACTTTTCCCGGTTTTCCAGGTAGCGTGGCAACCCTGTTGGTAAAAAGAAATGAAATAAATAACTACTTTCTTTCAGACACTGAGCAGGTTTAACTTACCACATTTCATAAATATGCTTTATTGCATAACAGCCGCAACTGATTATTGAATTTTTACTTTTTGTTACTTTTTGTATCACCCAATATGCATATACATACAGTAAGAAAGCACTTTATTTACATGTTCATTATAAATTGCAGATGATTATTTGTTACATATATTTTTAACTAAAATATGTTTTATAAGTAAGCTTTACTCAGATATATCTTTATAATATCAAATCAGAGCTTAATAATAAATCAATCTTTATATTTACACTGGATAGCCTAAATATCTATATATTAGGGATTTATTAAATTTGAAATTATAAAAATAATTTCATTAAATAAAAAAACAACAATAAAATTTAAAACACACTGAAGAACTAAAAATATCTAAATCATACTTAAATACACATATAGTAAATTCAAGTATCATTCACAAAATTCCAGAAGATAGTTTTTGATAATAACTTAATAATTAGTTTCTTTTATTCAAACAGGATATATCCTGATTTAGAACTGGTTTAGAATGTTGTCACTAAAAATTCTTGCATTTCTTTAAAATAATCTTTTACTAACTTGATGTTTGTATTTACTTGCACTGTAACGAGTGGTTTTTCTCAATCTAAAACATAAACACAGGCTATTTTACTCTTAGAAAGTACTCCACAAAGGCATATCTCCTATTTAGCAAATAATGCATTGTTTTAAGTTACAATGATAATTCCTGTGCTAAAATATTCACTAAAAATTATATAATTAAAAAAATGAAATAATGCAACCGCTGTTAATATCTAAAGAATCCTCCTTCAGATTCTAAAGCAGTTGTTTTGTTGAGAGGAATTTTATTTTCTACGTGAAGTTTAAACAATATAATTTGTATTTTTCGATCCACTATAATTTACTAAAATTAACTCGTACTCATTCAAGTGACTTACAGTACTGTTAAAGGTAATATAATTGACTGTAACTGTAAAGTAAAAAAATACAGTAGTATATTTAATACAAGTACAGCAGTCTTTCAAATATACTGACTAACTGGTATTTCATCCCATTTGAATAATCATTATTCCCTTCAAAGACCAAAGACACACTTACTGTAATGCATGAGAACTGTTTTTTATTTATTGTATTTTATCAAAAATATATTTATTTCGATATGACCTTACGGGACTACTAATGGTTTATGATTATGGACTTTTGTGGATATGTTTAACTTTGAAGATGACAGATGGTAATATTCAATACCAATGTCTGTTTCTGTTCTCAGAAGCTTGAATATTCCATAAAAGTATTTATGAAACATTAAACCAAGGGTACTTGTGTGATATGAATTTTTGAATGCATTCTTTGCCATAAAGAGCAATGTTCTGCAATAATGTTCATGATATTTTCAGCTAGTTAAAAATAACTATTTTAAAGTCCTTGTCCAATATTGAAAATTCAGCTTACTGTGTCTTCTGCAAAAAGTTGACTGAACTTTAATTATGTAATTTTGTAAATTTTATTGATTTTCTGGTATCTATCATATCAAATTTTTTTCATACTATTTTTTCAAATACTATTTGCATTATTACAAAATAAAAAATTACCTGATGCGCATCTTTACACCACTGTTCAAAACCTGTTTCATTCTCTAAATAAAAACACTGGAAAAGAATACACACTTGTCTTAGTTTCAATTCCACTAAAAGTACTAAAAAATTTTCCGCAGCTATAAAGGAACCTAAAGAAATAATGTTCATAACACTTTTTTTGTCTTATCCGTGTACCACAGCATAAAAATATAACAATTTCAGACTTACAGTGAAGCAGATGGTAAGAAAATAATAATTTACATGAGCCAACAAATAATTATTCATGATGGAAGTACTTGTCAGTTACAGCAACCTTGCCAAAGGGGAAAAAAAGGAACTGGCATATTTTAGCTTAGGCACCAAACTGATGCACCATGGCCAAAAATAATTTTAAAAATAGTGGCCCATTGGCACTTTCTAGGAGGAGAAACAGATCAATAAAACTTCAAATGCAAAACATAGGAATTAAGAATGGAACAAATATAATTTAAAATTTACATTTAATTTGTTTCCTAATCTGCAACGCATGGCTTGCAAATAATTTTAGTGCACTGTCAAATCACACAATAAATTACCTCAGTACTGTTTCCAGATTTCTTGTACTCCATAAATTAGCCATAGCAGGCGTCTAATAAATTTGAAATCTGCCAATGATAATGCTTTATGTTCCACAAATTTGTGTTGTTCATTACCAGCCACGTGGTTTGGATTACATATCGAACTAAAATGTTAATTCATACTCAGAATGGCAGTCACAAGAAAGGAACAGAAATGTCAGATGAGCAAAATTAAGAGCCTTTCACAAATTCTGGCAGGAATTAAGGATTTTAAGAATTAAAAATCATTTAAAAATAAAACCTGAAGACTTACAAACCCTGCAGAATATACACTTGTTTTACAAACATGAAGATGCTTGAACTGTACAAAAATCTCAAACTAAAATTTCATGTGCAAATTATAATTCTGAGAGCAGGAACATCAAAAAATTTTTAATTCAACAGTAAAGAGCACAACTAAAAGATTGCCATAATGATGCAGCATTAAGGATAAATAAAATATAGCCACATTTGCCATTTTGTTGGTTTTTAACTCAAGGGCTATAACTGACAAGAATCATAATTACAGTTATCTCAAGCTCGCAGACTGAATGCAGTTCCTGCAGCAATTATATGCAGCCTATAAAAACACTTCAATAATGGTTTTGTTGTAAATATGATTCTTACAGTTTTAGAGAGATAAAGATAAGATTGAGCTTATGAGTGTAACTGCTATTGAAGGAAAAAAGATAAGAATGAAAAACTTGGGGATTTGTCCATCGCCACTGTATGCTTGTATATCAGGCCACAATGGCAATGTGAGAAAATTTACCACATACAGGGTACAGACAATAATAAATTTAGTTTACCGGCCGATAGATGGTGGGGCTTTGGTATTCTCAAATTTCCAATTTTCTGGTTAAGGTTAAAAGAATTATTTAATTGTTAATTCAACATATTAGAATTACTTGAAATAAATATCACTCTAAAATTTAATGTTTTGCTGTCAGTGCACCTGAATTGCCAAATATAACCAACAGACATTTCTTTAGACTTCAGATAGAAAATAAACATAAATTATTTTTATTTAATTCACCTGTTTTTATTTATTTATTTATTTGTTGTTATCAAAAATATTTTTAAATTTTGTTAACAAAAATTCTGACCCATCAGCTGTTTTCATATCAAGTATTCAGTCTACATGCAATTTACGCATAAGATCACCTTTATAATATATACATATATATTGCATTGCACTTGCAGGTGTGCTGTTCAAGCTTTACTAATTTTTTAATATTCAATTAATTTATTTTAAGATTCTTTGCTCTCATTATCATTAATCATAAATAAATATAAATTTCAATGAAAACATTTCTCACCAGAGCAATCGATGGATCAAGCTGAGAAAATGTCATCCTACTGGGATGCTCACAATGGTAAGTTTTATCTTCTAATGGAGGTTCATTTCTGTGCAGCTGAGTAGTGTGTGGATCCAAGTAGATTAATTCATTGCCTGCAAATTAAAGGCACATACCTAAAAATTTGCATATCTTGGGACGAAGGATTACGCAAAATAGAAAATTTGGCAGATTATGCTTTTTAAATACAATCTTATAAAAGTAATGTCATTCATTACAAGGAGAAAATATAATGCAGAAAAAAGAAGATAAACAAAAGAGAAATATTTTGAGAAAGTAAAGAAAGCTTATGTAAAAATACATCAAAATTATTTTATGTAAAAAACAATAATTTCTGATTATCTGCAACTCATGAAAAATAACCAGTCTATTGCTGGAAAGCATTTGTGTTAAGTTAGAATACACCGCCACCTATTGGATAGAGAGAGAAACTCTCACTTGGCCATCTGGATTCGGCAAAGCAACATGCCAGAGTATGTATTAGATCTGAATAGTTAATTATTGTAAATAAATTAGTTAGTTCTTTTGCTATACAGTCCATTTATTAGTTTAGAATCATAGTACATTGGTCAGCAGAACCGGAGAAATGAACAAAATGCTGGCATTAGATAGAAATAAAACTTCGTTAAAAGCGAAACTAACTAGGTTAGAAAATATAGTGAAGGAATATGATGATAGTTCGAATAAGAATGAAATTCAAATAAAGTATAGATCGCTACAAAGCATTCAAATGGATATTAGAAACTTGAGGATTAGATATTTCGAAAGCATGATGAAAAAGATGTCACAGCTATTGATGAAGAAATCGCCGAAATGGAAGAAAGAACTGAAGTACTCGAGGTAATGAAGGAAAATTTCAATTAGAAAATCAACCATTGATATTCCAAGAAACAGTTTTTGGATATATCGCATCTGGTGCATGCAAGAGTAAATTATTGTGGTTTAGTTCTAAATAGTGAAGAAAGAGTTGAAGAAATTTTGCAAAGATTTTGGGAAGTTGAATCCATTAAAAATATCGAGGATGCTTTGAGTGAAGAAGAAAATACTGTGAAGAACATTTCAAGCGTACTCACTATAGACAAACTTATGGAAGATATGTAGTTCAGTTACCCATAAGGGAAGGCATAGAATTAGGAGAATCGAAAATGCTGGCTGAGAAAAGATTGCATCAAGTGTGGAATCAACTAGAAAGTGATTCGAATATGAAAACATTATATAAGAATTTTATTAAGGAATATAAGGATCTAAATCACATGGAAGAAGTTCAAGAAATCGAAATATCGACTTGCAATTATCTTAGTCATCATGGAGTTTATCAGCCAGAGAAAGCCTCTACCAAGCTTCGCGTTGTGTTTAATGCATCCATGGCTACTAGCAATGGAAAATCACTTAATTCAAAATTAATGAAAGGGCGAATACCTCAAGAAGATTTATTTTCTATTATTATTAGATTTCGAAAGTACAACTATGCATTAGGAGCTGATGTTCAAAAGATGTACAGACAAATACTTATTGAACCATCTCAATGAAACCTGCAGTTGATCTTGTGGAAAGAATCAGTTGGTAGTCCTGTGCAGACTTATCGTCTAAGGACTGTAACATACGGAATAGCAAGTGCATCATTCCTTGCAACAAGGGTCTTGAAGCAGTTAGCAATGGATGAAGCAACTGACTTTCCTCATGCCTCAAGAGCCATACTGAAGGACTGCTACGTGGACGACATTATCATTGGAGCTAATACGCTGCAAGAAGCCAAGGAGTTGCAGACACAGTTAACCTGTCTTCTAGAACGTGGTGGAATGCAGTTACACAAATGGTGTTCAAATAATCCAGAACTATTGAAGAATAAAGAAAGTGCTACTCAGGATTACTCCTTTCAAGTTACAGATAAGCCTCAGATTACAAAGGCCTTAGGAATGTCATGGAATACGTCTACAGACTGTTTTTCTTACAATTTAAAGATACCAGACTTTGAAGAAACAGGAACGAAAAGAAATGTCTTATCAACAATAGGTCGCCTCTTTGATCCATTAGTTTTATTGGACCTGTTACAACAAAAGCTAAAATATTTCTACAAAAACTTTGGCTTCTAAAATTAAATTGGAATACACCTCTTCCTAAAAATTACTTTGAAGAATGGAAGGAATTTCTTCATAGTCTAAAAATAGTCAACGATTTTCGCATCCCTAGATTTGTTCTAACTAATAGATTACAGCAAATAGAAATTATAGGATTCTGTGATGCTAGTCAGAAAACCTATGGTGCTGCAATTTATGTGAAATGTATATCATCTTCATATGAATGTTCATCAAGACTTCTGTGCAGCAAGTCTCATGTGTCACCTCTGAAGTCAATTACCATTTATTACGTATTTCCAGCATCTTTCTGACTAGAGGGCGCTGCGTTCGTCCTAATAGTCAGTGGCAGGCAGGATACTAAAGGTGCAGGACATGGAAGACAGCGATGCCTAATAATATATCTATAATTGATTGAAATTTTCATATATTTTCTTGTAAATAAATGTTGTTATTGTTTACAAAACCTCTGATTATCTCTTGGATGCACCTTTAGTCTCACAGAACCATTAGATGCAAAATTGGTGCATCTTGTCCGTGAATGTGGAATATCGGAAGTAATTAGTCATCATTACTGGATTATAGTTCTGAGAAGTTTGGATACTGTACACGCTTTTGGATACGTAACATTGCATACTGGACTGTGGAGGTAAGATAATATGGATAAGCTTTCGAAAATAATTGAAAAAAGAAGTAACGTCGCGCTAGTGTTACTAAACTAGTTAAAAGAGTGCAGAAGCTCGATGAAGCTGTCGAAGACGTAAGTTCATTATCAGAACTACTGGAACTATTAGAAATGAAAGAGCAGATCTTGAAAAGCCATGATTTAGAGGTGGAAGCACTCATAGACGATCCAGAAAAATTTAAAAGTGAATTAAAAGCTTCAGAAGAATACGATGACAAAATATTGTTCGCTAAGATTAAACTAAAGAGCAAAATTAAAGAATTAGCAGCAGAAAAATGTTTCAGCGGACTGCTTCAGTTCTTCTTAACACATCTAGTGTTTCGGAAAACAACCGTTACAGCTTTAAAATTACCAAAGTTAGAAATTTTGCGATTCTCTGGTGTGATTCTTCTAGCAAATTTATGGAATTCTTAAATTGTTTTGATAGCGCAATCGGTTCAAACAGTTTCACTTACGAAAATTGAAAAATTCCAATATTTAAAATCTCTTCTTTTTGGTCCTGCATATAACGTTGTTGCGGGTTTTGAATTAAATGAGAAAAAACTATGACTCATGTCTTGAGCTTTTAAAACAAAGATATGGTAGAACTGATTCTATTATAAATTCTTACATGACTAAATTATTAAGCTTAGAACCGTTGAGAAGTTCGTCTAATGTTAAGGGTTTGCGTAATTATATATGATGAAATAGAAGTTAATATAAGAAATTTGCGTTCATTAAATGTAAGGGAGGGTTCATATGGGCATTTATTGAATCCAATATTATTGAAGCTGCTACCACAAGATTTGGTGTTAGATTTTCACCGAAAACGAAACAGGGAAGTGAATTGTGAGGTTTCGGAAATTATTACGTTTTTTAAGGAATGAAGTTGAATCTAGGGAAATCGCCGAAACAGTGATGAGCCCCCTAAAAAGTTACGAAACGAAACAATCCTTTTCCCAAAATTATCAAAGTGGTCAAACTTATCAGAAAAACTATTCAAAGCCTAAAAATATATCAACCGCTTCAGCATTAAATACACAAATAAAAAATATTTGTTTATTCTGTGACGGTCATCACGATTCCCTAAGTTGTAAAAAAATTGGATGTTGTAGTAGAACAAAAAATAAATAAGCTTAGGACTGAAGCTAGATGCTGGTGTTGTTTTCAAAAATATCACATGTCTCGCGTATGTAGGGCAAAAATATAGTGTGTAAAAATTGTTTAAGCCAATTTTCATCATGAGTCTGTGTGTTTTTTTTTTTTTTTTTTTTTTTTTTTTTTTTTTTTTTTTTTAGAAAAATAAAAACCCGTTAATGTTACGATGAGAGGTTCTGAGAAGCAAGTGGGAAAGCGAAACTGTTTTGAATGACTCACAATCTAAATCTAATAAAAACACCATGAATATTTCTGTGTCTCATAGTAATATATGTACCAAAAATAAGCCCTTTTTACAAACATGTACAGTTTTAGCCTGTTCAGGTAAAAATTCAGTCTTAACTAATGTTATTTTAGACAATGGTAGTCATCGAAGTTTTATTTCATCTCGATTAGTTAAAGCATTAAAATTAAAGCCAATACGCTATGCAAGAATAGCTATTTTTGCTTTCGGAGACAAAATAGCACGTGAGAAGGAATACGGTATCGTTTCATTGACGTTGCGCAATAGGGATCAAAGTTCGAAATCGTACGAGTTAGAAGCTGTCATAACGGAATATATATATAATTTGTCCTTGAAAATTCCTGATTTATCTATTCGCAATGCATTGAAGGAAAGAGGTTTAACTTTGGCTGATTCACTTTCTGGCGACTGTCAGACGGAAAAAGGAAATACTTATCGGATGCGATTCATTTTGGGATGCTGTTTATGACGAGAGAGTAAAGCTAAATGAAAACATTACTGCAGTAAATTCTTGTTTCGGTTGGTTACTAGCGGGAGTGGAAGGAAGTAATAAATTGACTAATAATTATGAAAATGTATGTTTAGTCATGAACTCTTCTTCCATTTTGTGCGATTTGAAAAAATTTTGGGAAATAGAAGAATTTCAGTCAGACAAACAAAATTTGTCTGAATGGGAGAATCAATTGATTGAAAAATTTGAAAATTCTCTGGAATTTAATGGGGAAAGGTACTAATTCAGAAGACAAACAACAAGTGGAAAGGTACGTTTGTAGATTGACGTGGAAGGAAAACTTGGGACCTGCAGTTGGGTTGAATTCTAATTATGAGGTTGCGAAAAAGCGTTTTGATTCGTTAAAGCACAAACTAAATAAAAATCAAGAAATTTATGACTAGTATAAACAAATTATATTGGATCAGTTAGAATGTCAGATTGTGGGGAAAATGTGTTAATGA